CAGAAAGAAGTTGCAAAGTTGCAGCTCCGTATTATCTTAGCAGTAATGCACTGAATACGAATTGGCTTCCGATGCTCAAGTTAAATAGAAGCAAATTAGACTGCAGCTTTTTTTTTACTCATCTGAACATTCATCACATCTTTATTATAAATGTTTCAGTTTCTAAGAATATTTTTTTTCAGCAAAAATTAAAAGGAAGACTCAAAAGCAGTATAAACAGAAAATAAGGTAAAGGGCTTGAGCAAAATTACTGGCACGCATGTCGTCACCTAATATAATGTTATAAGTTTGTCGTGTAGATGTTGTTCCGTTGAAAACCAACAATTAATATGTTCTAAACCTGTAATAACGTCCTACTAATATACGCCAACACAAATTAGCTGTCATTTCTCAGTTTTCCGGCAAAAAGAATAATAATCTTTTCATAGCAAAGAATAAAAAAGCTGACTAATAAAGCCGTAAGAGCAAAGTGTTGGTACAAGAAGAAACGTTGCTTCTTTTAACTACTTTTTTACTGCTTCTGACCTGATGGTGCTCCTTCTGAAGTCTGCAAAAAACAGTACATCTGTTTCTGTATTTTTTCTCAGAATCAGTAAATTCAAGTTTGATTCTGGTCTTCAAATAATTTAAAGACCTTTATAATGCAAAGCAAAGATTATTCAAAGGAAATTTAAATGAGATGGATAAACTAAACTGTCATCTGCAGTTTACTAATCCTGTTAAACAGTTTAGTAAATTTTATTAAAAACTAGTATATTTTTCTTATTTTAACAGGTATCAGTACCTTCTAAAATGCATGAGAATACGTTGGTTTGCCAAGAAGATAAATGGGAAAAAATTAAGCTGCTTTTCAGGCTTTAATATTTTTCAAATTCTTTCAATTCTGCTTTTTTTATTGATGAATGATGAGTATTGTAATTCGTCGTTATAACACAGTGTTAAACAGCTTGAACAGTTTTTCTTTCGACAGCCAAAAGAAAAATTTTGACTACATTTGATATTTGATATTTGGTTTTTATTCTTTTCATTCCTTTTTCCAGTATTTTTAATTTTATTTCTCATTTTATCAGTAATTTCAAAAAAATTTTAGTTTTTTGTTCACTAAAATACTCGTCTTTTAACTTTGTCATTCTATAACACACAGTTTCAGTCACCTGATGATACAGGTTACGTAAAGCTACAAAAAAAAAGAAAATTTCCTCGATAACTACCCAACTGATACAAGAAATAACGTTTTGTTTTGAAGCAGTAAATACCCGCCACTAATACATCGACCACTAAAGTTTATAGTTCGATAATTTGTAGTTACATTTTTTGCAAATTTCTATTTCTATTCCTTATTATTATTGTTTTTTTTTTTTTCATCATCATAAACAGTTCAACTGATAATAAGTTCAAAAATTGTCACATAAATTTCAACTTTATATTATCCAAAATAAACAGTTAGTGCTAGCC